CAGTTGTAAAGTATGTTCAAAGACTTAAAGTATAGAACAGGCAAGAGGTGCAGTAAAAGACGTCTGCTCGCTTGCAAACCCGGAAATGCAGTTGTTCAATTAGCACCAGACAGATAACCCCCCCTTTTCAAGCTTTCTCCGGCTGTTTGGTGCACAGCGGGGTTTCACAGTTTTCACATCAGCTTAAATGAACTAAAGCAAACACACCAGAGTTTAGTTGAATTCCACCAAGCATTTTGAGAAGGCTTTCTTGTGACAGCAGTCTGCTATCATAACTTCAAATCAGTACTGGTCTACTTAAACATAATGCTTCATCATTAATTTCTTAGGAGTTTACTGACTGTTTAACCTGAGCCAAATGCAGTCATAAAATAAAACTACTTGTTGAACTTGATAGACATGTTTGCCATGTCTCTTAGTAGTAGGTTCCATGGTTTCTTGTTATACTGAATATGTCAAAAGTGTCAGTGGATGCCTCACGGCTCACAGAGCCAAACCATTATCCTCATACAGACACTGTCTTCTTCTAAGTTACATCAGTAATCATTAAATCTGATGCGAGCTTTTACCACAGAAACACTGATGTATATGAATGTGTGTGGGTTTGTCTTTGAGAAAAGGAAAAGGCTGGTTGCTATTATTTGTTTATGGAAGGGGTTTTCAAGTATGGGAAAACAAGCCTCCCCTCAGAGGAGATCATGTTGTCACTGTTGGTGTAGCCTACTGTATATTCCACTCAGCCATTGGTTTCAACAATAAATGTGAACATCTTTTAAGCAAACACTTTTGAGAACACAGCTCGACTCACATGGACTATTACAACCTGATTTCAGCATGTTAATCAGCAGTGGGCCCTGTCAAGTTAGAGAGACCACTGAAAGAAAGTCACTTTCGGCTTTTCCCGTTTAGGGGTCACCACAGCAAATCGTCACACTGACGACTCGCGTGTTGTCATTTGGCACGTTTTACGCCAGATGCCCTTCCTGACGCAACCCTGATTTGAACATGGTGCGCCTTAACCACTAGCCTACCAGGGACGGCTCAGTTAGAGAGACCATTCTGATTGGCTATTCATCTTAGTGAATCGGTGTACAGTAAGAGAAGAGCAGGCGCCTAACCCTTGCCAAAAAGTGCAGTGCAGGTAGTTAATGTTTTTCCCTCTAAATGATTGGCTGGATAAGTTCCTTCAAGATGATGAACTAAACAGGAAAGAGTCAAGCAAGATTTTTAAAATTGGAGGTCATAAAAATGTGCGTATGGTAAGCAAACTCTGCTTTGTTTATGCTTTGTATAGTATAGTCCTAAGTCTTCCACGTTCACTTTTTGAAATGACAAATACAGATACTGCCACCTGCTGGTATTGAAAGTTATTTCCCCTCATGCAGGTGCAGAATATACTGTATGTGCTAGTTGGCCATGGGCTGAAGTTTCCATGGTGCGTTCAAGTGCCACTTTTTGGCCCAGACAAAGACAATGTGAAATGATGCAACAGTCGGCCTTTGTCACTGCTAGTTTTTTTATGTCAGCTCAGTGCGTCTCTGCCCTGAGACACTCAATGTTGAATTTTCCTTTCTCACCCATCTGTATTTGTTTCCACAGGACCCCTCATTCTATTACAACTATGAACAATAATGCAGCGTTTAAGTGATGTTGAAAATGCTACCACACATAGAGGATCATCAATGTTTAAAAAAAGCAAAAGCCCAGTGAATACTAAATGTACTTGTTCCATTAGCATTTGAATACTAATTAATCTTTTCTCTTTGTGAAATCCAAGCACAGCAGATGTGCTACAGACCTCAATTAGTATGAAAGTATTAGTGTATGTGAATATGTGTATGAAAGACTTCTTTGTATAAATGCTTGTATGTTTATGCTGCATCTAAACAGCACAAGCACAAATGGCATTGCTGCCCGACAATGTATAACAAATGCAAAACAATATGTCTGATCTGCCATAACTCTGCTATCATAGCACTAACCTCTGTTAAGTCCTTGCATTTCATAGTTTAGGCTGTGACTCAAATGTGATCAAGAAACCATTTAAAATTTTTAAAAATGTTTTGGTAGTGAACATTATAATAAATGTCCTCATTATGTTTTTAATATAATGGGGGGGGGGGGGGAGCCGATGTAAGTGGTATAATTAATATTAGTTTGAAAAATGTGAAGTAGACCTATTGATATAAAGTTATACAAAACACAATGTGCTCCTACTATGCAAATGCATGTGTGTTATAGTGAAATTAAATATTCAATTCTGTATGTATGAATATGCAAAATAACTGTTAAATATATAGATATTTTTTAAAAGGTCTAACAGCCCATTCTCATTTCCAAGGCTTCAAATATTAATACTTTTCAAGTACCTTTTGTTTCTCATACAGATAAGAGTTATCTTTTAAGTAGCAAAACACAGAGCTCTATTTTCCTGCCAGCACGATTTCTGTCACCTCATTCACAGTCCATATGCAATTTTCCTTGGTTGTATGTCTACTTTTTTGCAGGTTGGTGTGTTTGTTATTTTTCAATTAATGATTTTTCAATTAATGTTTCCTAATTCCAATATTGCACTTTACCTAATACTGTTTTTTCTTTTGTCATCCATTACCAAATGACCAACTGACCTCATTATGCTGTTTACCTGACTGTATGGACACCGATATTTCATATCTTCTGGAGGAATGTGTGCCTGCCTGTGCTGCAAATTACTCAGACGTTAGTCTTGGGAAGACTGAAATAAAGGGGTACAAAGTATACTGAAAACAGTGAGAATTCACAATTTTCCACATCTTGTACTGTCATGTAACTGTTGCTTTTAAGTAATATTTATCTTATTTGCATTTCATTTTATCTATATACACTCGTGGCCAAAAATATTGGCACCCCTGGATTTCTGTCAAATAACACACCACTTCTCCCAGAACCGAGTTGCAGTCACAAATTCTTTGATATTCTCATGTTTATTTCTTTTGTTTGCATTGGAACAACAAAAAAACAGAGTAAAAAAGGCCAAATCTGAAACATTCCTCCAAAAACTCCAAAAATGGACTGGAAAAAATTACACTCTCAGCTTAATATTTGGTAGCAAACCCTCTGGACAAAATAACTGAAATCAACCATGTCCTAGAACCACCAGTGAGTTTCTTCCACCTCTCTACTGTAATGTTGGACCATTCTTCTTTTGCCAACTGCTCCAGGTCTCTCAGATTTGAAGGCTTCCTTCTTCCAGCTGCTGTTTCAGATCTCTCTGCAGGTGCTCTATGGGATTTAGATCTGGACTCATTGTTGGCCACTTCAGAACTCTCTAGCACATTGTCTGAAACCATTTCTAGTGCTTTTTGAAGTCTGCTTTGGGTCATTGTCCTGCTGTAAGACCATTGACATCTGATGGAGACCATACTTTCTAACAATGGGCCCCAGAATTCATTGGTAGTCTTCAGATTTCATAATGCATACACACAGTCAAGACATCCAGGGCCTGAAGCAGCAAAGCAATCCCAAAACATCACCCCAAACTCTGATCTGGCCTTTTTATGTTTCTGTGTCAGCAGTGGGTCCCCCTGGGTCTCCTACCATAGTGCCCCTTGTCATTCAGTTGGCACTGACACTGTTGCACCCTGTGCCTGCAGGTCAGCTTGAATTTGTTTGGAAGTTGGTTGAGGTTCTTTATCCACTATTGGAACACTCCTTTACTGCAATCTGTCATCTAGTTTTCTCTTTCGTCCACGTCCAGGGAGATTAGCTACAGTGCCATGGTCTATAAACATTTTGACAATGTTGCGCACAGTGGACACAGGAACAGCTAGATCTCTGGAGATGGATTTGTAGCCTTGAGACTGTCCAGCCTTTTCCACTATTGTGGTTCTCAAATCTTCAGACAATTCTTTGCTCTTCTTTTTCTCCATGCTGAGTGTTTGCTCCAATGCAAACAAAAGAAACAAACATGAGAATACCAAAGAGTTTGTAATTGCAACAGTTTTCTGGGGGAAGTGATGCATTATCTGACAGGAGTGCCAGTATATTTGGCCATGACTGTATGCATTTTAATGTTTTATCCTTCTGTGTACATTGTGTTAAACACTTAGAATTGCCTTTGTATATGAAAACATGCAATATAAACTTGCCTTCAAAAATCCTCGCACAAATAATACTTGGTCTACAAGTGTATTTAGTTTTCATCTCACACTGCATAACATGTGACCTACATTGTATTCCTGTTTTAGAACAAAACAAGAAAAGGATGAATGAAATAGCAGAATGAGAGGGGAGCAATAAATATTCAATAAATATGTTCAGTTTTTATTGAAGAGAGAGGGGCTGGCTAGAGAAAGAGAAAGAATGAAAGTGCAGATATTAATAAATTTATTGAGACTCAAAAAAAAGAACTTGTCTCTTTGAGTTAGTATTATGTCATCTGCTGCTGTGCTGTGAGCTCCCTATGTGTGTGGCTGTATTTGTTTGTGTACATGTCTGTGTTTACATGTCTGTGTTTGATGTTTAATGTTTTACTAGCTGTCTCCCAAGAGCATTATTAATGCCTTTTCTGTTTCAGTCTATAGCACTGGTTGTCTCTGCTATAATCATCCTTATACACCGGCCTCTACCTGGAATGCTATTTTAGTCAGTTTCAGCAAATGGGAAATATCTAATAAAGTTCAACATTTTTGTAAAAATGCAATATATATATATTTCCTTCTTACCCCTATGGGGCAGTGTATGTCTTCCTCAACCTCGGGTCCTCTACCAGAGGCCTGGAGGTTTGAGGGTTCTGTGCAGTATCTTACCTGTACTTAGCATTGTACTCTTCTGGACAGAGAGCGCTGATGTTGTTCCTGGGATCTATTGGAGCCATTCTTCCAGTGGCACGGCTCCGAGTGCTCCTACCACTACTGGAACTACTTTGGCCTTCACCTTCCAGATCATCTCCAGTTCCTATATAGATAGATACAGTCACAGGAAAAAGTCATGGCAGAGTTTGCAATTTCCCAGTTTTCTGCATAATTTGGTGATGAAATGTGGCCTGATCATCACCAAAGTCACAAATATCAACAAACACACTATTTCTAAGCTGGTAAAACACAAACAGTCATGATCATAAGGATAATGACTTTATTTGGCCAAGAATGTTACACACAAATTTGTTTCTGGTACAGAACTAAGGCAGCCATCTGCATTGCCAACTCACACCGATGGCTCTAACCATCGGGGGCAACTTGGAGTACAGTGTCTTGCCCAAGAACACTTTGACATGTGGACTGCAGGCACTGTGATTCGAACCTCTAACTCTCCCGGTAGGAGACAACCGTTCTACCCATTGAACCACAGTCTCCCCTTATTCATGTCTTTATTGAACATTAAACATGGCCATGATGGGATGATGAAAGTGATGGGGGGAAAAGTAATGGCAACTGTGTTTTAATAACTGGTTGAACAACCTTTGGCAGCAATAACCTCAAGCAAGCATTTCCTGTAGCTGTGGATTAAACCTGCACAACATTCCGGAGGAATGCTGGACCATTCTGCTTAGCTATGTTCTTAGGACTTTTGGTGTGAACAACTCTCTTGAGGTAATTCTACAGCATCTCTATTGGGTTGAGCAAGCCTCCCCCTTTTTCCTCCAGACACAATGATGGTCATTATGGCCAAACAGTACAATTTGTATTGCATCCAACCAGAGTACATTTCTCCAAAAAGTAGGATCTTTGTCCCCATGTGCAACTGCAAACTGTAGTCTGCCTTTTTTATGGTGGTCTTGGATCAGTGGCATCTTCCTTTCAGGTTATGTCAATATTGGACTTGTTTTACTGTTAATATAGATACTTTGGTGCCTGTTTTTAGGTGCTTCAGCCAGTAGGTATGGCTCATGTGAGGGCCAGGCAGAGTCCAGCTTTTCATGACAGCGCCTGGCCCACACATGAGCCATACCTACTGGCTGAATAACCTAACAGCAGCATATGAGCACATAGCAGCACAGATGAACCAGCTGCTAGCAGCAGGCTCACACCTGGACTGGCGAGCACAAGGAAGGGCAATGGTGGTCATGAAAGACCCCCACAAAGGAACAGCACCGTCCAAATACTGAACAATAGCCTGCCTCTCCACAACACAGAAGGTCCTATCAAGCATCACAGCTGCCAAGCTACAGGTGCACATGAACCAATACATGAGAACAGAAGAGAAGGGCATTGGAAACAACTCCAGACCAGCTACAATTACCTTGGTATCCCATAGTCATATGGGAGTTACAAAAAACAGGCAAGAAAGACAGCAACGGCCAAGTATTACAAAAAGATAAGACAGGTCCTGGAGAGCCAGCTCAGTGGGAGGAACAAGATCCAAGACATCAACACATACACCCTGCCAGTCATTGGATACCCTGCCAGCATAGTGAGATGGCCAGATCTTTTCTGACAGTTAGAATAGGTGAATGTAACAGTTTTTGACAGACAGAGTTAACCTTCAGGCCCACCAAATGGATATAATATCCATGCACTGTACACCATGTCTTTGTTCCTGCTCACTTTCTATATTTTCCACTGTTCAACAACACATACACTATAATATATTCGCAGTGATGAGCAGAAACAATGGTGTCAAGATCAACAAAAAGAAAAAAAAAAACTCTCAGCAGGAGTCATGTTACCATATTCTCAAATACTGATAATCTGCATTTGCCAAGGGAAAGGTAAAAGATTTTCCTGGGTGATAACAGGGCACACAACAGGCTCTCTCCTCCTAACACTGATCTCCTGAGATTGACTATAAATGAGTTTTAAATGGATTAATGGAACTACAACGTGCATTTTGTCAGAGATTTTTGTAATAACTGCATGGATATAAAAAAACACATTTGATTTTGGCTAATTATAACTTGATTAAAAGACACTTCCAATATGATTTTAACTAAACCCTAAAATGACCTCTTGAAAAAAGCAAGGAAAAGAAACAGTTCTATAGCTCCTTAGTCTAATGGCATTAAAGTTGGTATTAACATTTTAGTGGATTAAAATATTCATTGTGCTCCTCTGTAATTTCACTCGTTATTCTCGACAGTATTCTACTCATTAGGAAATTACAGGGTCTGGTCTGTAACAGATTCATTCAACTGGACAAAGAAATACATGGAAGTCAAAAGTCTTCCCAAGGAGATGCAGGAGAGCTGACGAGGAGAAGGGGAGACACACAGGGAGAGACACGATTCTATGCAAGGAGAAATTGAGTCTTAATAGATCAGGGAAATCTGATCATAGAGATTGGAAACACGTATCACCTCCATCATAAACAAGTGTCTATGAAGCTATTTACTGTTGAAATCAGAAAAAAAGACACTTCTGAACTTGCCTGAGAATCTTCTCATTTTTTCTTCAATATCACAGTAAACCAGAATCAGAATCAGAATCTGCTTCATTGGCCAGGTGTGTTGGGCACACGAGGAATATGACTCTGGTACATCGGCTCTCAATGTTCATGTACATATCCCCATGCAAGGGGCACGTAAACAAACAACAAACTAAGCAGTATAAACAGGCGGTAAACGATGCAGACAGACAAAGGAATGCTCACTATGCAACGAGATAAATAGGAATAAAAATAGAGTACTTAAAAATATGGATCTGTATAATCTGTACAATGTATATTTACAAGTATTGCACTGAGGAAACCAGTGAAAACTGTCTGTGTAGTTGCATTGCAAACAGGAACTGGCAACATCAGCATACTTTTAATGGTGCCATTGGTCAAAATGTAACAAATACACACTGAAAAACAGGGTCAAACAAGAGCACTTAGGAGCACATGTGCCTTCGCCAAGGCACAACACTGGCTCACACAAATGGGTTTCTTGTATAAAATGAGATCCAAAACAACACAAAATGTGTCCTAAAATCCTTGATCTGAATCAGATCCAGATCATCTATTAGGGTATGATAGACAGTTATACTGTGCATCCTACCTGAACATTTCAGGGTTCTATCTTCATTATAGGCCAAGCTTTGGCAGAAAATGCCAAACGTTTTTGACATGTTTATGATGCCTGGAGATATCATTAATCAGAGACATGTGTCAAGAAGGTATAGTTTGCTCATTAGTAATGTCACTAATGATTTGCTTTTGCCAGTGAGGTTATTTTGGAAATAATAGTATATCCCTAAGTAGGCCAGAGAGAAAGATGGGATGAAGCAAGCCGCATGCAAGGAGGAGCTTTAGAGAATATAAAAAAGGATGTCTCAAGCTCTGTAGTCATTCTGCTCCATGGACTGGAAACAGACGCTATTAGGGTGTTTTTGATTTTTTTTTCCCCCACAATAAATCTTATACTTTGCAACAGACTGATTAGACTTTTAAGTGATTTTTTTGACAGCAGATAGAGAACTGTGTGGGTGAGAACTGGACCCTTACTGGCCCTGGGAAAGTTCTCCCTCAGCATTATAGTTGCTGAAATCATACAAAATTGACCCAGAAATTAAAGTGAATTGATCTGAGATGCAGTTTGTGTTTTCAGTTTTCTTAACAGCATAATCCTTAGCTGCTGTCTGCCACTGGTGAACACCTCACACATTTACAGTAACCAAGCTTACTGTACTTTATGTTTATTGCCAAAATGCACCCTGAGAGTTACAGAGTGTTTCACCCAAAACTTTTATGTTCATGGGCTTGTGATTTAGACTTTTTGTCAAAGGATCATTGATTTTCTAAGATAGTACATTTTTTAGAGTCATGATTCAACCAGGACAGGTTCACATCTATCCAAGCTGTAGAAGTACTTAAACTCTTCCCTAATATGGTCTATGGCAAGGGGATCCCAAAAGAGAAATCTGTCGTTTGGGCCCCAAACTTACAAAACTACATCATGGATTGCTACAGTGTCTGCCACTTTAATCTACTGATAATGAACACAACAAACCTTGAATTTAAAATGTATGTTAATGAAATGTATTTATACTGCTACTGTTCACACACTGCCTTTCTAACTGTAAAGCTACTATTGTGTTACAGATTAGATTACAGGCAAATATGAGTCTTGAAACAGCACATAAGCAGCCCTGTTTTTCTTTTGAATCCCATCATGATGCGTTTTAGTGTGTTTCATTAGGCTGGCTCAAACACAGTGAAGAAGTAAGGCTTGTTCTGATAGTTTGTGATTCTAATTCAGAACTTTTGTTATGATGGGCACAGCGAGAACTTAAACTTTATGAGATGCTTTGTTTGGCATTAGAGCAAGAAGAGAAAAATGTATGTATAGCTGGGCACTCAGCTGTCTAAGCTTCAGAATATTGGGTCATTCCTGTACTGTACTCTGTGTTTTCTGTTTTTTCTGGCATTCTTACCAGAGGACATCAAGGTAAAGTACTCTGTCAATGAATAACTGGAAGTTGAGCAGAGGAATTGAGTGGGCTCTGCAAAATTATCAGCGAGGCTGCCAGAAGAGAAGATATCTACTCTCCGCTTAGAGAAAGTAATCAATTTCTGCCTCTTCTGATAGAAAATGGCTTCACACATTCTCTACTGCAGATTTATGGGCACGGTCTGCTATATTTTAAGTAGTTCAATCCAATGTGAATATAATTCAAACTTTTTTAGGTTTTATTTTTAAATTGGAGTTGCAGACAGTCAGTTGAACCTACTATATGTTAAGGAACTCACCCTGCCTGTGAAAGGTTATGTTTACAATGACAAAAATTCACATTAGAAAGCACGGTTTGTCATACTCTACATGGCAACGACTGGACTCAAGAGGAAAACTCTATATTAGTATCAGTATATGCTGTACATTGAGCTAAAATGAAGTCTCATCTGAAGGTCTCAAATGTGTGCAATGCTGAGTACTTGAAGCATCCTGCATGCCCAGAGTCTAGTCTCCAGGGACAACAATATCTGCTACGTCTCACTCGCCTGTTTCCCTCTCTGTAAGTGTACGCAGTTGAAAGTGATGAGGTCAAAAAATAACAGTGTTGCTGTGCTGTATAACATACTGTAATTATACAACATAAGATTTTCTGATTACGGCACGTGGCACAGTATGTTCAACCTCATATCGAACATTAGCCCTCATCTAACAGTATATATTAAAATGCAAAATACATGCTATGACAAATTAGTTTATTGTCAGACTACATTAGGCAAATGTTGATGTTGGCCTTGCTGGAACAGCAGATAAGACCAGTGGACACTAGTTACGCTAAGTGAATCACCAACAAAGCCAGAAGACAGCAAAATGGGGCAATGCACTCAAACTGTAGCAGAAACAATGATTAATGCAAATATAAATGTCTGAAAGTATTTGTGTGGTTGAACACCAAATCTGGAGGAGATGGCAGCTTCTTGTAAGTCAGCAGTTATGAGAGCATAATAAATACCAAGCTAACATTTCTGTTTACAGTGGGACTGTTACATTTTAGCAGTTTTCTTTGGAATCAAATACAGAACTACAGGAGAATGGCCAATTTTACTGGCATAACGGGAAGAGGGGGATCCACATTAGGCACAGGAGGAGCACTGATTCATACAGGACCACGAGCTGAGTCATGGTCCAACAAGAAAAAACATTCAGCAGGTTTGTGTGTCCCAGTGATCCTCAGAGCTACAGTATGTTGTCCAAGGCATTAGCCCCTGGTGTGGTCTCCTAAAACAAATTGACCAGTGTAAAAGCAATTCAAAAATCTGATTAAAATAGCCACTTCAAGTTGTGCTACCCTGGCTGGATTAGGGAAACCAGGCCACCTAGCTGAAGGCAGACCTGGGAAGGGAGCTGGCTGAAAAGCATGGGGTGGCTGGGCCTTGACCCATAGGGTCCAGTCAGGCACAGCCAGAAGAAATAACATGGACCCACTTCCCTGTGAACTCACGACCCACTGGGAAAGGAATTGGGGTCAGGTTCAATGCATGTCATCCGGCAGGCTAGGCTGGGTAACTGGGCGAGCTGATCCCTGGCTATGTAGGCTAGATCTAGGAACAGACATGCAGTGGACCAAAAGCTGGCAACTCTTCCAAAGGAGAGAATCCTTCCTGATGTACCACCATTTACCAACACAACACAGGTGGATATTACTTTGGACCGGTGGAAGTAAAGAAGGGAAGATCATACTGCTTTGCAAATTTTTATTAGTAGGAGAAGACATGTTACACACTTAGGCTCATGCAATGTATCAACTTTGCTGGTGCACAAAGACTACGTTCACACTGCAGGTCTTAATGCTCAGATCGAATTTTTTGCCGAAATCCGATTTTTTTGCGCTGTTGTTCACACTGTCATTTAAATGCAACTGCCATCTGTCTCATGGTATACGGCCCTGAGGTGACCCGCATGCGCAGAAGAGGACGTAACGTCAGACACAGCGTACTGTGTTTGCGAAAATAAAAATGGATGCGGCTCATGATAGCATGTGTGTAGCGATGTACCAGTTAATGTGCAATCGAAATAAAGAAATAATAATAATAAGAATATCAAGATGAAGGAGAGCACAAATATTGCTTATGGGCTCGCCTCCTCCAGCGCAGAATTGTGACGTCTGTCGCATTTCAGTGACATAAAAATGACGACATGGCCGTTCAGACTGAAGTCGCATTGCAAAACATCGGATATGTATCTGATTTAGGACCACATATGAAAGTAGCCTGGGCCTGATTTGAAAAAATCGGATTTGTGCTGTTCACACTGTCATAATGAAATCGGATATGGGTCACATTTGGGCAAAAAAATCGGATTTGGGCCACTTCAGCCTGCAGTGTGAACGTAATCATGGAGGTGTGTAGGAGTGCATAATCCACTTAGAAAAAAGTGTCTCAGCTCCGTGCTGCATCGACAAAGGTTGGATGACAATGGACTACACATAGTTTTCTGTGAAGTGGAAGCCATTTTAAATGACTGCCCAATTACCAAGCTATCAGACGACCCTAAGGATCTAGAACCTCTTACACCTAACCATCTTCTCCTCTTGAAAGGGGAAGTTAACCCCCCCGAGAAAACTAATGGGTATCAGTTCAGTTAACTCACAGTAACTACACCTGACAAATCTTAAAATCTGTAATAAACCTCTCTACATTATATGCCCTTAGATCCTACGAGTACTGTGTGCAATAACCAAACGTGTTGGTTAAAATTTCTTCATTTACTCAACAAAAATCAAGGAAAACCATAAACAATAACAATTCCTTTTAAATATCTTTGACCCCTTTCTTTGTAAGACACCTTTCAATGTCTCCAGCTAAACACACAAATATAGAGGACCCACACACTCACTCTACACCAGCTGGCATATATAGTGAAGTTTAACCCCCGTTGCAAGCCTGATGGACACACAGGCAGTTGCAGTGAGGCCAAAAATTAACCATCACTCATAAGAGCCACACAAAAACGGTACTTTATTTAGTAGTTTATAGTCCAGAGACTGGAGCTTTACCTCCTCCGTGTGTCCAAAGAAATAGGAAAAGGGTCCCAGTAGCCCTCTGACGGTGAAGTAATCACAAGCCCTCAGGTCCAGGTGCAAGCAGTAGTGGGAAGGTCCGGAGTAGCAGCCTCTGTTGTACCATCCAACTGATCACTCATGTAGCACTGCTCTGATAATGTCCATGAATTCCAGGTCGGAAAAGATGGATACAGTCTTGGGAGTAAGCCGAGTTAGCTATACTACCGAGACAAAGTTCATTTAGCTAACAAATGCCAACAAGATAGCTAGTTATGCTACAAAGCTGGACACAATAACACTACACAACTGCAAGACAACTCCGTGCAGAAAAATATCCAGTTGTGTACTCCAAACTATGTAGGACAAATATCTTACTGCAGATCCTGGAGTTGACAATCTAAGATACAGTCCACATACTTAAAATATTTTGCGTCTGCGTAAAACTTTTCCCGTCTCTCCTTTCTTTCACCAAGTTACACCCTTCCCCCGCTTCCTTTTTTCTTTTTCCTTTCCCTGGGTATCACTACCTTTACCAATGGATGATCAACAATGATATCTTACACACAACACTTTCTTGAACCTTTAAAATAACATAAATCACCATAAAGCTTTTAACCATATTTATCTTATGAATTTAACTTATTTATGGTAACTATTGTTCAAAAGCAATTAACTTTCTAATGATGCTTAATTATAATACATAATATTTTACCCAGGTTACATGTAGTCTCTGCATATTGCTGCTGTTTCTATTTGGTGCTGCAGTAAAGTTACTGACCTCGTTATTGCATTGCATTATTTCCAGGTGCAAGGGAAAACAATGGTTCTTTGTTTTTAAAGACATAGACATAGTTGCATGAAATAGTCTATTTTTTTTATTTGAAGGAAGCAGGGGAAGGGTGCTTATTTGAATATTCGAAAGTCATTGCCCATTCCTAATATCTACTGTATGACTGTAATCATCTAAAGCATGTTAGTTTGCATGGCAGAACCATTAGTGGAGAAAGTATTCACATCCTTAAGTTAAAGTACTAATACCACACTGTAAAAGTAGCTTACTCAGTTACAAAAGTCCTGCATTGAAAATGTTAAGTAAAAGTATGTATGATCACGAAAATGGCTTCTCAGTGCAGGAAAAGCATTACTTTAAAAGGCCTAACATGTTTTATATTATATCATTACATTAACTGCCTATCACTCAGGCACTGATATAAAAGCAGACTGCTGCAGTTGGCTGAGGTGGAGTTCTTTTGAACTATTTTCTATCCAAGTGTGACTATTGACTATTTTCAATAGGGATTAATCTGCTGATTATTTTCTCCATTAATTGACTGATTTGTTTGTAAAACTTCAGACAATTGTGAGGAATATTGTCACAGTGCTTTAAACATTTATCAAAACAGTTGGTAATTTATTGTACTGTAGGCGCACAACAGCAAAGGCAAACTTATCCTGTCTGTACTTTCACTCACACACAGTGACTTCTGTCAGCCCGTGGAGCCTGGAAAGTTTGTACATGTGTTTCTTTAGGGGTCAGATTAGGATCACTGTAAATCCTTTTGTACGTCAGAGGTTAGTGAATGAACAATGGGGAAAGTGCACTTCATAACCGAGGGTTATACGCTCACACGTTTTATTTGGGATTACATTTATAAATGGACATGGTTTTGATGTGCACGGAGGGATTATGTTCTCGAAGGTTGTTCTTTTTGAGATATCCAAAGTAATCCTGCTTCTGCCTCCTTCTCCCATTTTTCTGCTGCATGTGTCTGGCGCCCATTGCAGATTCTGACAGGCAGTTGGGGAAGAAAGCTGTGCATGCATTGCAGGTTATTCCTCAACATCGGTAATAAGCAAGTGTGTATGGTATGATAACTGTCAATTCTCATACTATAAAACTGGTATATCACTGCAATCCAAACATGAACCAGCATTCATTGACTCCATCTGTCCAGCTCTTCATCACTCTGTCTCTCTGTCATTTTTCCAGGAAAAGAACAGAAATGTGCTAAAATCAAAATCAGTATGAAGTAGAAAAGAAGTAAGTTAATGTTGAAAGTGTGCTTGTAAAAATGTGAAACTAAACTTTCGCCTCAGTCTTATGGCTTCGATCCCTTTTTTAATAGAACTTACTGTATGGTCTTCATTACTGTCATTGGCAAGACCCTTCTGAAAAAGTGCAGAGCAGAAAGATAAAGAAAGAGAAAAAAAATAGAGTCAGAAAACAGAAGAATATGAAATATGAGTGTAAGTGCCAAAAAACGTGGCCATTTGTCAGGTGAAAATCATGCAGGGTGGAGAAACTGCACAACAGGGAGAGCTGTCCTGCTTCACTTCTTTTATGTCTGTCTCATCTGCCGACTTTTTTCTCTTTTTACCTCCCCGATTCGGCAGCCTTTTCACTCTTGCACTGTGATACTTATGCGACTTTGGAAAGGGGCCATTTGTCAGTTAAGAGTTATGGTGTTGAAGTTCCCGGCTTCTTGTCAGTGTGAGTGGAAGGGACATACCAATGTGTGACCCCTTGTCCATAAAACTCTTACATTACTCTCATGTACTTTGTCTTCTGGCTGAGATTCTGTTTCTGTCTCTGTGTCTGCTTCTTTCTGTCAGTTTTGGGGTTTTTGGGAAGGCTTCAGTTAGCTACCCATAGATTCAGGCTGTGGGAATCTTCAGCTCTTTAAAAGGGAAGTGGACAAACATAGCACTAGGCTCTATTAGGCACCACTTAGACAACTCTTAATGTCAGCTGTAAAGGTTATGAAAGTGTCTGAATGATTTTATCTCACTGACATTTATACAACACATTTACAACATTTAAAAAAAACTGATTGTGTCTGCCATTTCCCACTTGCAATCCATGCTGCCAGCCGTCTTCTGGATTTGTGCTTTTTGTTTTGGTTTAAGCACTGAAGTTGACTTCTATATGCACAGTACCTGTATCTGACTGCATTTTCACAGTGTTTTCAATGTGGCTGAAAGCTTTCTTCATCTGTAAGGATACTTTGCATGATATACATCTATTCATAATTGGTTGACAGAAAAACCTGAAAAATGACATATTTGAACAATTTTTGACAATGTTTTATAATATTAATTTCTATAATAAAATTGACTGAAGATATACAGTACTCTTAGAAAGCACTTTATTAAGTCCACCCATGCAGTTGAATGCACCCCAGTACAGCAGGCCTGTCATAACAGCTGCCTTTTATAAAACTCAAAATGTTTTAGTCCTTGGAGAAATTATTAGAAACCTATATGTTGAGTTATGTTTATTATACAGATTATTGTTCAGTGGTCTCTATTTTGTTGTCTATTTACATATATGAGAGGTTCAAAATATTAGGAATGCCTCTTGAGTATGATGCAATTCAGTACATACCCCCCAAAAAACCATATCTTCCACATCTTGATACAGACAATATCAGCAAAATGCCACCGCATATTTCATTTCCTACAATATCCTCTTGTGGTAACGAATGCACGATGACATATGTTTAGGCAATCAGCACTGATGATGAGCTTTGCCTTATCTTAACCAAAACTTTGTGTAGCATAGATCTAGCCATATGGGGGGTGTAGGACAAGAACCCCATTCACCAGCATAACATTCCTGTACTTCATGCTAGTAGCTTAGTTGTTTCACAGGCAGAAATGTACAGCCCAAAATCAGCCTTGTTCTGAAACAGTTCATTCTTAGACATAAATGCCCCCTTCCAACTGAAATACCAAAATTAAAAAAAAATCACTCTGAAATCCACATTTTATTTCTTTTATAACAATAAAAATTGCAGCTCTGTCCTTCGGTGCTACTTCTTAACACCCCATTTGAGAATAATATTTCCAAAATGATGTTTCTCCTGTTCTCATCGGTGTCCAGAGTGTCTAAGAGCATGAAAAGGATAGTACGTTTTATTTGGGATGATTTGTTTTTGTTTTTTTTCTTGTCTACATAACCTCGAGTGTTTAAAATTCATTGCTGACAGTGTTTACTTTTTCTCATCAGTAGCACGTATCTAAAATGAGCACCATGTGATAAGGTCATAAGCGCCAGAACTATGTGGAACTTGAGTTATGCCAACTTCTTTTTTCCAAGGTCAAGAAATTAGTGCTAAGCTTAACTGTAGGAAATGACTCATTTGATTTTACTTGACTGTGAGTACATGGGATGAGTTCATGTTTAAATCAAGGACAGTAGAAGAAGCCGTACACTGTAAGTTGCAGCGAGTCATTTCTTAGGGGACCTGCTTTTTTCAGTGTTTGTTGTTTCTCCAAACTGCTTAAGAAAAAGAAAGTTCCTATTTTGCACTGCACATTACAAGGTCAATTTTCAGGTGGAATACAAAGACATTAACATTTCAGGCATCACTTATCGAATTTCAAATATAATTGGAGCCTTCATAGAGCCTTCGTGTTATTAAAGTACTTAGTGATGAACCCATCTCTCTAAGGAACATAATCAGTTTTTCTTGTTCTCCAAACAAACTTTATTTATCTTTCACAGCTCATCATGTCACTACGCTTCCCTTTTCTGGCTAAGCCTTACACTTTGTTTCACCTGCTTTTTTCTAAGCTGTCCAACCTGTGTGTTCAGATAGTAATGAGGCAACATGGCCCTCTGCATCCTGTATTTCTGGCATTTTTTGGGAACAGAATAATGCAAGTTTCTTAAAGATTTTTTTTTTTACAGCCTTGTCTTACATTTGAGAAGATGTTTTTTCCAATTCCAACTATAGTACACTTACAAAACATACAAAAGTGTTAGCACAAACATTATAGAAATGCACTTCAAACCCAAAGGTCAAAGCACATACAAAAGAAAAATGCTTCTCCAGTGATTCCATAGATATAGAGTATGCAGAGTGTACAGACATGGACAAAATTATTGGTACCCTTCTATTAAAGAAAGAGAAACTCACAATGGTCACTGAAATAATGTGAAACTGACAAAAATAATAATAAATACAAATTTACTGAAATTTAACTAATGAAAATCAGTCATTGCTTTTGAAATGTGGTTCAACAGAAGCATTTAAAAAAACAAACTAATGAAACTGGCCTGGACAAAAATGAAGGTACCCCTAGAAATTATTGAAGATT